GAAGTTCAAAGGGTTTGGCAAATATACAGAAATGGCCTGCTGTCACCCTAACTTCCAGTGCCACATGCTTCCAACCACGAGGAACTGTTGCCCAAATTCTGGGGGTAGCCCAATCAATAGGCTCCCCAGGTTGAAGCATATAGCCTGACAAGGTAGTCGCTCAAAAATTAAATAGAGGCTAGGAATAGTGTCCTGTGTCTTTAATCCCAGCATTCGGGAGGTGCAGAAGCAGGTGGATCTCCAAATGTTAGAGGCCAGTTTAGTCTAGATAGCAAGTTCCAGGCCAGCCAGAACTATATAGGTGAAATCCTGTCTCAAAAAGAAAAAGAAAAAAAGAAAAAATGCTAGCATGCAGGAGTGCTTGGATTCTACCTCAGGATAGAAGAGGGAAAAAACTAGGTAAGCGACTAAACTCAACCACATGAAAGCTAAACCACACGTACCTGGCCAGCAGAGTATCACAGCTTTTAAGAAGTAGGTAAGCAGAAATCCACATGGGATGGAGACAGGAACTTTACATAAGCCACAAATCTCCATCCTGAAGGCTGGCTGTGGCTCCTCCTCCATCCACGCCACCTGATCTCTAAGCTCTTCTTTGTCTCTAGAAGAGGTCCAGGTGGGATCCCAGACCTCTTCATGTGAGGTGACTGCCTGTTGCAGCTGGTCCCTTTGCCACTCCCATAACAAGGGCAGCAGCCAAATGATTCTCTTCTCTTCCAATCAAAGTGGATTCCTGTGACATTCACTGCACCTCTGTGACCAGAAAGTACCCTAAGAACTGGCAGCACAGAGGCAGTGCCTTCTCCCCATGAGTTTCTCTGACCTTCAGTTCTTTGCTATAGAGCAGAGTATAGAGGAAGATGAACCAAGCAGCCACTCTCCTGCCTCACTCCAGACCCTCTCCAGAGGTCAGGACCCCAAGCTCATTATCAGGAAGGCTTTCTCCTTCCAGGGATGGTTGCAGTTTTTCTGCTTATTTGTGTTTGGCTGTTTTGAGACAGGGTCTCACGCACTACAGCAGTGGCTCTCAATCTGGGGGTTGTGACCTCTTGGGGGGGGTGTCACATATCAGATATCGTGTATATCAGATTTTACATTATGATTCATAACAGTAGCAAAATTACAGTTATGAAACAGCAACAAAAATAATGTTCTGGTTGGGGGTCACCACAGCATGAGGAACTGCATTAAAGGGTCTCAGCGTTAGGAAGCTTGAAAGCCACTGCTCTAGAGCTAAGGCTGACCTTGAACTCATGATTCTCCTGCCTTTACCTCTGGAGTGCTGGGATTGCTGACATGCATTCAACACACAGGCCTCGGAGAGCTGTCAAGGAAACCTCCAAATCAACGGGTTCCTTTTTCTTTTTTTCGTTTTATGGAAGAGCTGAGTACTGAAGCTTTCTCTTTTGAGACAAGGTCTCACAGAGTATCTTTGGCTGGCCTGGAACTCACTTTGTAGACCAGGCTGGCCTTGAGCTCACAAAGATCTACTTGCCTCTGCCTCCAAGTGCTGAGATTAAAAGCGTGTGCCACCACACCCAGCACAGTTTCTTACTATGTGGGGAAAGGCTTCTTGCCATGGTAATAGCATGTATCCACACTGCTGGGTTTCAAGCTCCCGTTTGGTAGAGAAGGACTGTAACGAGCTGAGAGCCAGGTGTGGCAGAGCACACAGACTCAGGACACTCAAGTACAAGAACGCTAAGCACAAGGATTCCAGACTAACATAGCAAGACCTGCACATCTCAAAAAAAAAAAAAAAAAAAAAAGGAGATAAATAAATTTACCATCAGGTATGGTGATTCACGTGTATAGTACTATTTGGGAATCTGAAACAGGAACGTCCTTGAGCTTGGGAGTTTGAGGCCAGCCTGAATAAGAGAGACTTTGTCACAAACCAAACACCAGTTGGGAAAAGTTTTCTTGTCAAAATTATCAACACGTCTGGACAAAGCCCCTTCTAGGCTGAATATTATAGCTGAAAATAAACTCATGCCAGACCTCTCTGGCTTGGAACACACAGATTTACACTATTGTATGGTTCTCTTGTTATCAATAACCACCCAGAGCCCAGGAAGGACACCTAGATATTTGACTTTTCCAGAACAGCGATGTGAAGTACAGTCTCATACAAGTTTTACCTTCGTGTGCAGCTGCTTTGAAAACATTAACCCAGGAGTGGAAATGGCTGGTGTAAAGACGCACACATCTTAAACTATATTATATTTACAGAGAGGACAGACCTGGCAACTGTCAAATTCACAGTATATTTACTCTAGGGAATTTGTTTATGTGAAAACCTGACACAGAGCCAGCTCCCCTCACCCCAACCCTGGATCCTTCCAAGAGGGTCAGTGAGACTCCAGACTTGTCACCCAGCATTCAGTTTGCTCTGCTGCTGGTCATGGAGAGGAATACATCATCTGAGCAGACTTGGGTTCACTGGCTTAGCAGGCTGTCACTGGTGGAATCTGTGGAGAGTTCTGTGGGCTTGTGACTGCCCACCAGAGGCTCCTGTCCCAAAGAAAAGATATGGCTCTCAGACCTGCTGCACATGCCTAGCATGAGATCCAGCTCAGCAGCTAAGAACCAGGTCACATCTCCAGACTCACCAGATTCAACGGGCTGTCCCTCTATTTTCCCTCCATGTCACACCTATATGAAGGCCCCTGCCTTTTGCCAAGACCTAATTGGATTTTACCTTTCTTATCTAAGATTTCCCATCTCCTTCTTTCAAAGTCTATGGATGGAATATGACTTGGCCAAGAAACTCCTTGTGACCAACTTTCTGAGCCTTGGTTTCTTCATCGGTAAAAAAGGAGGGTTCTGTGCAATGTTTTAAATTTTGGATGGCCATCTTGGTTTAAAGGATTTTTTAGGCAAGTCTGGCTTCTATGAAACCCAACTTAAGAGGCTTTTAATCAGCATCCTGACTGGCTTAGGGCTTTCTGGGAGGAAGACTTAACTTTTGTTCGAAAAGTTTCTGTGACTACAATTGCAATGAAAAACAAAAGCTGAGCCTGATGTAGCATCGACAGCTGTTGTGGCTGTCACTTAGGTAGCTGAAGCCAGTGTACCATTCTTAAGTCCAACTCGAAGACTGGATCTCAACAGGAAAATAATGATTATAAAATAACAGCATTTAAAATACAATAATCAAGGAAGACTGTTCCAATGCAGTTGGTACTGGCACGTGGGTCTCAGGTTTCTGGGCCTGTATGATCAAAACCCAGAAAAGGCCTGTTAGCTGGAGTTAGGCTATGCCACACTAACGCAGAGAGCAAGAGACAGTCAGGGAACTTGGAGGCAAGGAAAACCTGAGGAAAAAGTGACACTAGCCTGGACCGCTGGAAGCGCCTAGATTCACCCTCTCCGTCTGGGGCTAGCCATCAAGGGAAAGGCTCGGGCTCTATCATCAGATCCACCTGGGCCAAAGGACACTGACACACGAGGTTAAGTCAGGGACCAGCGAGTAACTGCGGCCACCTCCAAATTGCAACACGGTGCCTGCCTTACCCACGCTCCTGGAGCGCAGCCTGTACTCACCCCTGGCCGACCCTCTGCGATAGTCTTGGGGTTTTATCCAAAGTGGCCTTCGCCGCGACCCACAACTGGTCCCTTAGCACGTGGGAGTTAGTCTCCGTACTTACTGAGCCTCAGTTTCCCCATCCCCACAAAGATAAGCTCCCAGAGGAAGAGACAAACTTACAAAGGTACGGGGACTGGCACCCTTTGTGCCCGGTAGTGCCCCCACCACCACGGAGGAGCACACAGTAGGCGCTCCGGAAACACTCTCCGAAAGGAGGAGCGGGCCACTTCCTGCCCTGGAGCTGACTCCGGGAGCCTTGGTCCCACCGCTCCACCCCCGGCCCAGGCCATGTGGCATTCCTAAGGTGGGTGGGCGCAGGAAGGAGGTGCCGCGGGCCCGCCCCCTCCGGCGCGTGGGCGGGGCGAAGCCCCCTGGCTCTGCGGGCCCGCCCCCGAGGGTGGGCGTAGCTGGCCACGCTCCGCACAAAGTTTGTTTCTGCCTCGGGGCGGTGGGGGAGGGTGGCGACTGGCGCGCTGGGAGGAGAGGGGATCTGACGTCAGGTCGCGAGGTGCTTTCCAGCCGCGAGCTGTCAGGCGGGTGTCAGACCCGGCAGGTACGCGGCGCGTTCCCCCGGCGCCCCCCCACCCCCGCTCCGGCCGGGTCGTCCCGCACCCCACCGAGGCCGCGTGGGCCGGAAAGCTTCCGGGGAAGGTGAGTGCGGGGCGCCGGAGGGCTGGAGACGCGGGAGGAGGCGCGCGGACAACTTGGAAAGTTTCTTGGGGCGGCGGGGCGGGGGAGGGGGCGTCGTCCCGGCGCGTGCGACAGTGGGTGTGTGAACCCGGGGGTGTGTGTGAGTCGGGACCGCGGAACGCTGGCGCGGAATGTCGAGGGGGGAGCCTGCTCGGGGTCTTTGAGGGAGGGGTCGGCTCCCAAAGATCCCAAAGATCCTCTGGGAGAGGGCGGCCGGTGCCCTGCAGCGGGGTGAGCGCGCGGGGAGCGGGTTTGTTTGGTTTCAAAAGTGCACGTTGCTAACCGCCGGCAGACCCCCCCCCCCACGGCGGCGGAGCGGGACCGGGGGCCGCCGAGTGACAGCTGGAGGTGGGGGCCGCGGGCGGGGCTCCGACGGAGAGGGCTTGGGAGCCCGCGCGAGTTCCCCTTTCCTTTGGAACAAAGGAAAGTCTGTCTCCGAGGCATCTGTCACTCCCGGGCGGGCCAAGGCTGTGGGGCGCGTGGGGCTGGCGACGCGGAGAAAGTTTGTGCGCGCCGGGACCCCGGGGCCAGGCGAAGGGCAACCGGGCGTCTTTCGGGGGCTGTGCGCGTCCCCGAGGCAGGGGGGCGGCCAACATGGAGTCTGGGCGCAGAGTTGGGGGGGCGGCGCGGAGGTTGGAGCCCAGCCCCCTCTTTTCCCCTCCCCCTCCGGGCCGAGTTCGGAGCACAAAGCCGAGCGCGCACGCTCCGGCGGCCCCGCGCCCCAAGAGTCAGGCTGCGCGCAGTACCGGGGAAGGGGTTGGGAACTAAACTTTTTCCTGTCCCAAAATGGACACGTGAGTTTTCTTTCTTGCAGAGTTTTCCCCACCACCCCCCGAGCGCCGGGTGGCGGGCCGGCAGGGGAGCTGTTGCACGCACCGTGACTCTGGTGGGGGACAGTAGAGTGAGGGTGCCCTGAGCGCCGGCGTATTCGTCGGCGCCCCATGAGCCATGTGCTCCGCTGCGCCTGGGCCGCGGGGGAGGCTGCGCGCTTTGTGTGAACTGCTGGGAACTCCAGCCTCAGTGTGCGGCCCGGGGGAGAGTATCTGGAGCTGGGCGAGTTGTCAGAAAGTTCCTGTGGGAGTGGCTGCAGATGGTGGTGTGGGAATGTGTAGGAGATTGATGGGGTGCAGTGTCCAAGGGGTGCCTCCAATAACCCAGTTAGTGTAAAAACTGATGGATGGCCGGTGTGGTGACGTGCGTGCTCCTGGGTCGGAGAGATCGTGGGTGGGCAGGTCACTTGGAGTTCGTGGGTGGGCGGGTGCAGGAGTTGGGCTAGTTTCGAGAGTCTTAGTCGTTGGTCCTAGGTATGGGGTGTAAAGCTGTATGTGTTTGTAAAACTCTGGGAACTTGTGGGATGTGAGCAGTGGGTCGGGTCGGTTATCTGAGCAGTGTTCAACTTGCATGAGGGATGTTGAGGTATCACTGCTGTGCGTGCGTGCGTGCGTGCGTGCGTGCGTGTGTGTGTGTGTGTGTGTGTGTGTAACCTGCAGACAGCCCTAGGGTGCAGGACTCAGAGGTGGGGAAAAAGTTCCCGCTGAGGGGTGGGTGCTCTTCTGGCCCCACACCGGGAACTCTGAAGACTGGGTTCTGGCAGGCAGCCAGAGTGGAATTCGGAAAGATAACCTTGAGTAAACTTCTCACTCACTACCAGGGCTGCCTCCCTGAGCTGGCACCCCAGCTGTCCCAGTGGCCGAAATGCCTGCCCGCAGAATGCATCCTATGTGTGCTCCCATGAGTAAACAGAGGCTCTGAGCAGTGCCGGCTTCACCTCCAGGTGGCCTGGCTGAAGGTAGACCCTTCCCTCGAAAGTCTGGCTTAGCCAGCCCAGAGATCTGGGCTCAGACCCAAGTCGAGGAAACAAAACCTGGGAGATGCCAGAGTCTCTTGGCTGGGCCTGCCGGGGAGCTGTTAAAAGGCAGAGAAGGGAGGAGCCTTGAGATTCTGGCCCAGCCTTGGCCTAGAACTTGTGCTATTAAAATGTAAATTTCTTTTGCTTTTGTGAACAGGAACTTTGTCTGCTGGAGGGGCAGCTGATACGAGTTATCTAGGCAGAAACCTTCCTTCACGGACCAGGGGAGGAGGAGGGCTTCAAACTCTGAAAGGAGGACATTTAACTAGGATCACACAGCCCAGTGGAAGTTAAAGCAGGGACCAGAGCCACATCATTGGTCAGGATTCTGAGATTAAGTCTGGGACCAGGTCAGAGGCCGGACCAAGGAAGAAGAAGGTCTAAGAACCGCTGGAATGACTCACTACCCACCGCACACATGGTGGCTGGCGGCAGTACGTAGTGAAGTTAGCAGACCCGCCTCTGGGCCTTGGAGGGAAAATTACCCGATACCAAATCCTGCTTTATAATGAATCTTAAATGGGAATTTTTAAATTTTTTTTACGTGTATGGATTTTTATCTATGCCTCAGAGCTCAAGAGAGGGCATCTAATTCCCTGGAACTGGATTTTTGGGTGGTTGTGTGCCTCCATGTGGGTGCGGAGAATGGAGCCCACCTAAACACTGAGCTATCTCTTCAGCCCCAGAAATTCACTTTTAAAATAAGCAGGCATGGGGACCTGGGGGAGCAGAAGACTGGAGAAATGGCTCAGTGGTTTAAGAGAACTTGTTGCTCTGACAGAGCCTGGGTTGAGATGCCGGCACAGACATGGGCTCACAATACTACTCTTAACTCCACTTCTGGAGGATGTGCCTCCTCCTTCTGACTTAGCAGGACTCTGCACATGTGATACTGAGACATACATTAGGCAGAACATCTATATACATAAAATAAGTAAAATCCTGGGCGGGAGAGAAGGGATTTGTGGGAGGGAGAAATGAGAATAGAGCACTTTGGTCAAAGAATATTATATATATAATAAAATTTTAAATAAAACAAGCTAAAATCCTCCTATCCTCCCCACCCCTAACTAACTGCTGAACTGCTCTGTAGAGCAGCCTGTTGCGGACACCTCTTCATACATGGAAGCACACAGTGGTCTTTTATGACCAGCCTCTTCTCACTGAGAATGTGCCCAAGGTCCATCCATGTTGTAGCAAGCATCAGAAATGTACTATCTTTCTTTATAATTTATTTATTTTGCTTTACGTATATGAATGTTTTGCCTGTGCGTATATGTGTGTATACCACACGGATGTCCATGGAGGTCACGAGAAGGCATTGGATTCCCTGGAACTGGAGTTATAGGTGACTGAGCTACTATGTGGTTGCTGGGAACAGAGCCAGGTCCCCTGGAAGAGCAACAAGTGCTCTTAACCACTGAGCCATCTCTCCAGGCCCTCTGTTATTTCTTTTTATGGCCAAATAGCTTGTTTGTTTGGCCATCTGTTGAAGACCTCTTGTTAGTTTCCACCTTTTGGCTCCTGTGAACATTGGTGCACGGGCTTCTGCGTGGGACCAGGTGTGCACTTCTCTTGAGTAGCTTGCTACTAGCGAGATTGCAAGTTTCCCCTTTTGGGAGTTTTCAGAAGAGTTAAGTGAGGTTATAGATGCTAAGTTTCCAGGACAGCCTGGAAAACAGAATTCAAGTTGAGCATTGGCACTGGGGATGCAGAAGCAGAAGGAGCTGCCTGGGCTACTATGTCTCAGAACCACAGGAGGAAGCTGTAGTCTTTTCTAGTTGTATTCTGTTTTTAAAAGAGGTGCCACCCACGTCTCAGTGGTCCTTCTCTGTTCCATGAATCAGTGGCATTTAGGATTTATGCAGCTTGCTCGGGCTGTGGTACTACTGTGCAGGATCTGAGACTATGACCTCTGCTTGTGACGGTGAACTCGCTAGGAGACTAAGGAAAGGGGGACAGGCACTAAGTGGTAATGTTATCCCCATCCCCTTTGTCACTTGCCCCAGGCTCCCCAGAGGTCCAGCTTAGCCCCTAAGCACCATGTCTGACAGCGATCTAGGCGAGGATGAAGGTCTCCTGTCACTGACCGGCAAGAGGAAGCGCAGGGGGAACCTGCCCAAGGAGTCAGTAAAGATCCTCCGGGACTGGCTGTATCTGCACCGCTACAACGCCTACCCCTCAGAGCAGGAGAAACTAAGTCTCTCGGGACAGACCAACCTCTCGGTGCTACAGGTAAGAGGGTCCCAGGCACCAGTCTCCAGCTCTTCCCGGTGCCCTGTGGTCTTGGCAGGGGGTAAGGTGAGAAGTCCACTCCTGGCCCAAAGGGAAAGTGACGTAGCCGAGGCTTTGGCCCTTGTTCAGGGATGAGGAGTTACTGTTGACCTTGAAGGTGAGAAGGCACAGGAGCAGAGTTTCTGGGGTGCAGCCCATGGCACTGTTGGCACAGGACTTGCTTTACAATGGATTGAAAGGACTGAGGAGGTGACCCGGGGATTGAGAGCACGTCCTGCTCTTCCTGTGGATCCATGTTCAGTCCTCTGCACACCAGGCAGCTCTGAGCCTTCTGTAACCCCAGCTCTGAGGGCTTCTCACCTCTGCAAGTGCACATATGCCCGTGATTTTTTTTTTTTTTTTTTTTCTTAATGTAAAAGGGAAGGTCTTTTAACGATCGAGCTGGAGGTAGACAGGCTGGTACACGCCTGCGATCCCAGCCCTCAGAAGGAAGAGGAGGAGGCTAGTTACACATTCCTCTCCTGTGCCTGGTGGAACTGCTAGGAGGAACGCATTTTAAACTGGATATAAAAGGACCTTTGTGAACCACACTGAGGGGCACACTCGAGACATTTGTACTAGAAGTTGTGTCTCTTTTCAGTTGTCCTGCCGACCAGCAGATGGGTTTTCTGTTTGCATAATGCTAACCCCCAGTGCGTTGGATCTGCATCAGCTCTCAGTCCCCTAGTTTATGCAGTAGGCCCTTGGTCTAGACCAGAGACCTGCCTCTGTCTTGCTGGCCTCACTGTTCCTTTCGTGAGCCAGCAAGCCTCCTCTTGCTTCTCTCCTCTGGCCTAACATTTCTCTAACCCACAAGCTGGCTCCTTCCTCCCGTCACCTCACCTAATCCTACTACTTCCCACCTCTGTGCCTTCTTCCAAGGCATGGCATGTGATCAGCCTGTAAAAATCCTGTGACCTAGCTCTATACCTTAGACAGTGGTTAACCCAAGTCTGTCTTGACACACACAGGGTCTAGACTCAAGTTATAGGACTTGATTGTCATCCCAACCTTTTCTTGAGGACTCTGGACCTCAGCCAGTCTGCTGCTGTCGCTCTAAGCCTCATTTCCTCATCTGACAATGGAAAGCAGTTTGGAGCATTCTCAAGAATCCAAACACCATTGGGCTGCTCGTCTTCTTTGTATCCTCCAGGAGCTCATCCCATTTCATTCCTGTGCCCAGCTCCTGCTACTAGGATACCTTCAAGGAACATCTAGCCTGGGGGTGTAGGGTACCAATTGATGAATACTAAGACAAACCAATAGAGACAAGGTAATGCAGAGCCCGGACCTCTGTCAGGACTCCCTGGAAGTGTCTTTGAACCTATGTGCTCTAGAGGCACATAGGCAGAAACAAAAGGCCTAGAGTTTGAGACCAGAACTGCACAGACAGCCTTCGCTGGTCCCCTTGCCTCCAACCTTTATCTTTCAGTCACAGAAGTACAGATCAGATCATGTCACACACACTCCAGGGACCCCACTGTCCTCTGATGGGGTCCAGACTTCAGAGCACCCCAGCTTCCTTGCAGTCAGTCCTTCCTGGGACTGGCTGTTGGTTATGAATATGCAGGGTCGATTGTGGCCTTCATTTGCTTCACTCTCATTCAAGCACTTGTCTCTTGCAAACCCTCTAGCCTGCTTCCTGTTTGGAGCCATTGCAGTACATCCCTATGGCACATCACACCTGTCCTGTCAAGCCACTTGTCACACGGTATTGAAATTGCTTCTTGTCAGGGACACTGTTTCTCAAAGCTGAGAAATGGACTGACCCTTTTCTAAAAATTGAAGACTGGGCTGAGTGGTAAGGTACTGACTGGCCTTGTACACCAAGGAACAGGGTTCCCCAGCACTGGACCAAAGAGTTGTTCCGTGGCCCTGCCTCCCCTCCAGATGCCAACACTTTAATAATTTTTATTATCATGTCGTAAGTGTGTGGTACAGACATAAAACTGAGTTTTAAATGTTTACTTTTGCTCTTATATACAGCTATAAGACCAGTTTTCCAAAGTAAATAAATTTAGTGTATTTTAGCACCCACTCCAGATGTGTAGTTGGGTATGATGCACCTACTTGTACATGCCAGAGTGAAAAGAGACAGTCAGCATATCCTCGCAGAGAGCAGTGAGGCTTACAGACCACAGCTTCACTTCAGCACCCACGTATAGAGCAGGGGTCGGCCACTGGAGTGCACAGGAGTTAGAGACAAGTGGAGACCATCTGGCACTCCCGAAAGGATACCGCACATCAGCCTCAGCTGCACACTTCTCTTGAAGACTCTTTAGGCACCTCAAGTGCCTGAGTGGAAGCTGACAGCTCCAGCAGGCCCCGCCCTTTCTCACGCTCCTTTGAGATCTCCAGCTCCTGTACAGTTCAGTGTTGTAGAGTATGAGGTTTGGGTTGTTTCTTGAGATAAGGTCTTGCCATGGAGCCCTGGATGACTTTGTCCCATTAAGAAATCTAGCTGTGCCGGGCGGTGGTGGCGCACGCCTTTAATCCCAGCACTTGGGAGGCAGAGGCAGGCGGATTTCTGAGTTCGAGGCTAGCCTGGTCTACAGAGTGAGTTCCAGGATAGCCCGGGCTATACAGAGAAACCCTGTCTCTAGAAAAAAAAAAAAAAAAAAAGGAAAGAAAGGATGGAAGAAAGAAAGAAAAAAGGAAGGAAGGAAGGAAAGAAAGAAAGAAGCCGGGTGGTGGTGGTGCACGCCTTTAATCCCAGCACTTGGGAGGCAGAGACAGGCGGATTTCTGAGTTCGAGGCCAGCCTGGTCTACAGAATGAGTTCCAGGACAGTCTGGGCTATAAAGAGAAACCCTGTCTCGAAAAACCAAAAAAAGAAAGAAAGAAGTCTAGCTGCCTATACCTCCCAGTACTGGACTTAAAGGTACCATGGGGCTTACAACCTTTTTCTTGTAATCTGTTTTGTTGTTTTGGTTTTGTTTGGTGTGGTTTTAGGGGAGGGTTTTTTGCTTGCTTTTTGAGGCAGGTCATCCTGACCTGACAGTCTTGGAACTCTGTGTGGACCAGAGTGGCCTCTGGCCTGCAGTTCACAAAGATCCACCTGCCTTTGCCTCAGGAGTGCTGGGATTAAAGGTGTATGCCACCATGCCTGGCTGGAATGCAACTTCTTGATTCCGTGCTTTTCCCTGTCACCACTGACATCAGCTGTCACTCCAGGGCATCAGTTGCCTGTTGACAAGTAGGTCTCATCTCTGACCCACATTCCTGCTGTGTGCTCTGATTACCATATTCCTTACTCTGACCAGGGAACCCCAACCGCTAAAGGAGTCAGCTGCTTCCACAGGACCTGGGCATCTGTACTGGGCCCAGCATTAGGACCTTTAGCTGGCTGCATTTAAGTGGCACAGGGTTCTCTGACTGTGAGGAGCAGAGACCTTAGTTTTGGGTGGTTTTTTTTTTTAAATCGGTATCTGTCAGGGAAGGGCTAAGTAATTGCAACTGCAGAACCAATTGTGTTGGAAATGTTCATGGTTTTGTCTGTATTTAGTTTCAAATTCTCCTTTGTTCCTAAGGACATTTCCAAGCTCTCCCACCAAGCCACACTCCTGCCCCAAAGAAAGAACAGTAAATGAACTAGCCACTGGCCCAACAGGTACCTGCATTGTGCCAAGCTGGTTTCTTCTCCCTGGGGCACCTCTTTTGATTGTGTCTTTTTTACTTGCCCTGGAGCTATGTCATTAGCAAGTCTGTGAGTCACGGTTAGCTAGGTTTTGTTCAGAGCCAGGCTCTTGGGAGAATAAGACCAAAAAAAAAAAAAACAAAACAAAACTGTGTGGAGGATTGTCAAGGTCCTTGGGACAGTCACAGCCTAAGTTATTGGTTGGATTCTTCTGGTTTCCTGTTCCGGGACTTCCTGGAGCGGTCTGAGTCCATTGCTTCCCCAGCACCCGGGCTGCACTGGAGGGCTCAGGACTGATGAAGGCAGTCCACACTGTGCTTCTGTGTCTTTCCTGACATTCCTGAGCCCACTGGCTGCATAGCTATTCCTCTGGTAAGGCCCTGGAGAAGGAGTCTGTAAAGGCTGGGTAGGAGGAGTGGCCTGTCCCCGTGCAGGCAGTCACTATATTTACATCCTGTCCTGTTGATCAGGCTTCCACAAGCAACAACATGTCGTCACCTGTCCCTCAAGGCCCTCCTGTATAGTTTTTGAGTTCCTTCTGTGTGACAGACACTGTTAAAGAGCTTTTGGTGCTCACCAGAGCAGGTTAGATAAACCACTGTTCTGAGTCTGCCTAACAGCTCTCTAGAGCCTTTGTTTAAAAACATGCATTGCCAGGTGGCGGTAGCAGCTCACATCTGTGACTACAGGATTACCATGAGTTCAGGTCAGCCTGAGCTATAGAGACCCTGTTGCAGAAGAAATCCAAAATTTGGCATGGCAGTGCATACCTTTAATCCAGCACTCAGGAATAATTGGACACAGGCAGATGTGAAGTTCCCAGCCAGGGCTACATAGTGAGACGTGAGACCGTAGTCTAAAAAAGGAAACATGCAAATAAATCTAACAACAAAAACTCTTCCCAACCCCACCTCATCCTACCTGCCTAAAATTCCATACAGCAGATTGAAAGTAGTTATTTTAACAGATTTAAAAAAAAAAAATCCCTCCAAGGATCAGGGATGAAGCTGAGTGACCGGGCACTTATCTAGCACACATGAGGCCCTGGGTCAGTCCCTAGTACTGGGGCAGGGAGTAGTGAGGCTCATCTGTGATAAAGGGCTGAGCCTGTGGTTCAGTTCGTAGTGTACTTCCCTAATAGTCAAAGCCCTGGCATGAGTCCCCAGCACTGTAAATCTGGGGGTTGCTCTCATCCCCCTCAGGTGTGCAGTTCTAGGGGAGGAGAAGACCAAGAAGTAGTCCACCACACAATCTGTGGAACAGGGTGAGTGTGGAGGGTAACCTGGGCTAGGTGCCCACACAGCTGGTAGCTGGTATCCAGAAAGCCTTCTTGCTTTCTCCAAAGCTCCATTCCTCCCAACTTTGCCAGACAAGTCACCAAGATGGTACCTGTTTCCTGCTCCCACTGCCTCACAGCCAGAGGTACAGGAGAGAAGGGACATGGCTCCTATTCCAGATGACCGAGGGAGGTAGGAAGAGGGTGGACAGGTGTCACCCTCGTGGGAGGAAGGGTCTAAAGCCTGTTAGGTGGAGCCTTCAAACCTGAACTCCTAGTGATGACCACTACCTCAGTAGTGGAGATTGTCAACAAAATCATGCTGTTGACTGACAAAGATTAAATGAGAAGGCAGCCAGGAGCGGAGGGTTTGTGTCTGAGTGATGATTTAAGATTATGAGGATTACATAACTGTCCTTGTGGCAGGTGAGGGAAGATGGAGACTCTAACCAAAAGACCAGCTTGTGAAACCAGCTGTGTGTCCCAAAGCAGTGTGACTTTAGGCATGTTTCGTCAAAGGGGACAAACTACCTGACGCTGCCTACAACCTCCCAGACTTGTGTACAGATTTAACAGAATGTCTACAAAGTGGTTGCGAGACACCAATGTCACTCCTGCTTCCAATCCAACCAACAGTTCAGTCGTCCCTCCCTCCTTCCCCACCCTTTGTAAAGGACCCAGCTAGAGCTCCAGCCAGGATCTGCCAGTGCTTGCTTGTGTGCGAAAACACTGAGGTGAAGAGAGAGAAAACCCCAGGGGCAGCCCTCTTGAAGCTGGATAGGAGAGGGGAAGAGGCACCACAGATGCCTCTCTCAGGTTAGCTTGACAGCTTTTCTGTAATGTTTGTTATAATTGCAGCTGGCTGCTACAGATCAGTCTCCATCACAACGGGTATCATGTCTCTTTGGCTAGACATGGCAGAGATTTCATGAGAAGACTATACCCAAGAGTTTGCTCAAGAAATGTACCAAGAAAGAAGCTTAGTACTAGTCAGGGGCAGAGACAGGTACTTAGTACAGGTTCTGACTGTGTCTGCTGATGAACTAACAGGACAGAAGAACCTAGGGTGTGAAACTTGTCAAACCACATGGTGTTCCACCTAGTGGGATCAGCCCTGACGCTGAGAACTCATCATCCATCATGATCTCTTCCGTGTTGAATTGTTGTTTTGTTCTTGAACATGGGGTTTTTACTGGATTGCTTTCTCTGCCTATGCTCCTGAGTAACAGACAAGACACATTCACAACTTGTCCATTCAGTAGTCCTTGTGTTTATCTGTTTGAGGCAGGGTCTTTACTAAGTAGCCCAAGTTGGCATCACACTTCAACTGATCTTCCTACCGCGGCCTCCTGGTGCTAGAATTACCAGTGTGTACATCATAGCTGACTTCAGCCTCAGCCTTTCAGACAGACCCATTAGCTCTGTCTCTGATGTTAGTATTTATTTTACTTAAGGAAGGGTTTGTTTTTTACTGCTCATAGTTGCAGAGGCCTGCTCCCTGATTGCTTGCTCATTGTTTCTGAGCTAGTTATGAAGCAGTGGCATAACAGTGTGCTGGACAGTTGGGGGGCTGTTCATGGCCAACAGGAAGCAGTTAGGGATCTCATAGGTTTGTATACTGTTCCTTCCTGTTTCTAGGCATGTCCTGGTGGTCATTCACCTGTTTGTTTTCTGCCATTGCACAACCAGATGGTGTCAGCACCTCAGGGCAGGGCAGGGCATATAACTGTTAAAAGGCAGCCTCTGCAAGCACCAGTGGCTTGCCAGAAGCACAGCAGGCAAACAGTGATGAATAAGAAGCCCTGAAAGAAGCGAGTAGGGAAATGCTAGAGGCTCTCACTCAACTGTTTTTGGGGACTCCATTAGCTGGACTCAGGGTCCTGAGAAAGATGGGGAGAGAAGTGACAATCTCAGTCCTGCCAGGTGAGGTTCTGCCTACTGCCAGGCTGAGCTTTTAAGTGTGTTCACCAGGAATGCTGGAGATGGCCCAACCCATTTTACAGACTAAGAGTTTGATGCACTGTGGTTAGTAAGTAGCAGCTGTTAGAGAGATCGGCACTGGAGGTGCAAAGCCTGTGCCTTGGTCCACCAGTGGGCAAGAAAGCATTCCAGGAAGAAGAGAATGTGCTATGTAGAAGGTGTAGTGTTCTTTGGAGGTTAAGTTTGATTTGGGGACTTTTGGGGGATGGGGGAGGTCAAGATGGGTTTCTCTGTGTAACACCTGTGGCTGTCCTAGAACTCACTCTGTAGACCAGGCTACTCTCAAACTCAAGAGATCTATCTGCTTCTACCTCCCAAGTGGTGGAATTAAAGGCATGTGCCACCAACACTTGGCTTTTGTTTAGTCCCACCCCATGCCACAGGACTTACACATATGAAGCCTTTGCCTCTTGAGTGCTGAGATTAGAGACTGTCTTTAAATCTATCAATCAAGGCGGGCAGTGGTGGCGCACGCCTTTAATCCCAGCACTTGGGAGGCAGAGGCAGGCGGATTTCTGAGTTCGACGCCAGCCTGGTCCACAGAGTGAGTTCCAGGACAGCCAGGGCTACATAGAGAAACCCTGTCTCAAAAAACAAACAAACAAACAAATCTATCAATCAAAAAGGACTGTTTGTTTGTTTGTTTGTTTGTTTGTTTTGAATGAACAGGGCCCACAGGCAGTTGCACATGGTGACAGCAGAAGGGCAGGAATGAATGGTGTTGGGTTGGAAAGGAGGGTCTTAGTGCTCTGGCTCCTGAAACTGGACTCAGACTAGTGGTAGTAGGAAACAAATAGCCACTTCCTAGCCAGATCACCAGCCATTGCAATTTGAGAATATTACACTCAAAGAGGTCAGAAAGAGCCATGAAGCCGGGAGTCAACTCGGTGCTAATCACTTGCCTAACATGAGCAAGACTGGGTGTGACCCTCAACACTGCAAAGATAAATAGTGGACACATGGGGCACAGGGTGTCAGGTCTGTCCCCATCCTACAAGCACCTTGAGCTTTGCAGCATGACACAGCATACAGAGAGGGTGACAGACCTCATACCCCTGGTGTTGCTTGGAAGCAGTCTCTCCCCTCCCTGGTAGCCCTCGGTGTATCTGTGTGTCGCTGGTCTACAGCTGCTCTGCAGGTCTAGGAATGAGTGACTTTTTTTGTTTTGTTTTGTTTTGTTTTTTGAGACAGGGTTTCTCTGTGTAGCCTTGGCTGTCCTGGAACTCACTCTGTAGACCAGGCTGGCGTCGAACTCAGAAATCCGCCTGCCTCTGCCTCCCAAGTGCTGGGATTAAAGGCGTGACCACTGCCTGGCTGTGAGTGACTCTCAGCATCCTTTTTGCCACACCTACCACCCATACCTAGTGGGCAGCCAGTTTCCTAAACATCAAACATTTTCCTCCCAGCACTTCCCTAAATAGAATCTGAGCTACCATCTTTATCCCATCTCTCAATTTTCTACATAACTGCTCACTCCTTTGCTTAGAACCCTCCTGTGGGGCTGGTAAGATGACTTGAGGATCAATGAGGTGGTCCAGAGGGTAAAGGTACTACCTGCCCCACAAAGAACCAGCTCCCACAAGTCATTCTCTAGCCTCTATAGGCACATGACACATACCTGCCTATACTTGTGTGTGCATGCCTATCGCTTGGGAGGCAGAAGCAGGCCGATCTCTATGAGTTCAAGGTCAGCCTGATCCAGAGTAAGTTCCAGAACAGCCCAAGGATACACAGAGTCCCTGTCTCAAAAAATAAAATAAAATAAAAAATAAATAAATAAAAATCCAAGCATGGTGGCTTTAATCCCAGTAATCAGGAAGTTGAAGCAAAGTTTGAGGCCGCCTTGATCTCTATAGTGAATTCCAGAACAGCAGAGCTATACAGTGACACCCTGTCTCAGAAAATAAATAAAATAAAAAATTAAACCAATAACTTCTATGGTTCCCTTTGTTCATAGTGAACCAGATCCTCACCCTAAGAGGTGACCTCTGATAACCACACTGCCCTGAGCCATACATGCCTGCCTTGCAGCATTTTTCATAGATACTCTACAGTCACTTTGGAGATATGGCCTCACTATCTAGCCTTGGCTTTCACAGAACTCATATTTAGAACAGGCTGGCCTTGAACTTGTGAAAACAGGTACATCTGCCTCTTAGATTTCAGTTGAAAACTTTTTCCTCAAGTCTTGCACCCTCAACACCTTTGTTCCACCAATTCCACTGGCCAACATTTTGTCTGAGATGTTTGCTACTGTGTCTTGGTGTCTGGAACATTGAGCATTTTGTAGCTGTTTGGAATGGAGTTAACTGATAAATCTCTTTATACTCGTTCTAGATATGTAACTGGTTCATCAACGCCCGGCGTCGCCTTCTCCCTGACATGCTTCGGAAGGATGGCAAAGACCCTAACCAGTTCACCATCTCCCGTCGTGGGGGCAAGGCCTCGGATGTGGCTCTCCCCAGGGGCAGCAGCCCCTCCCTACTGGCTGTGTCTGTTCCAGCCCCCACCAACATGCTCTCCTTGTCTGTGTGCTCCATGCCACTCCACTCAGGCCAAGCTGAAAAGCCCGCAGTGCCCTTCTCACAAGTGGAGCTGGAGTCTCCCAAGGCCCTGGTGACCCCGGGTAGCACACTCACCCTGCTGACTAGGGCAGAGGCTGGAAGCCCCACAGGTGGACTCTTCAATACGCCACCACCCACACCCCCAGAGCAGGACAAGGACGACTTCAGCAGCTTCCAGTTGTTGGTGGAGGTGGCGCTGCAGAGGGCTGCTGAGATGGAGCTTCAGAAGCAGCAAGATCCAGCACCACCGTTACTACACACTCCACTCCCTCTAGTCTCAGAAAACGCCAAGTAGCCACCTGCTCGCAGGTGGCTTGAGGTTCAGGCCAGCTGTCCCAGGTTCCTGGTTCACTTCTCTTTCATACAGAGGGTTATCTATGTACGGATCACTGCCAAGCATCAGGGTCATCTCTGTCCAGAGGTCCTCAGCAGAAAGATGTCAGCTGATGTTGCTGCACTGTTACGGGACCTATACTCTGCTGAGTGCCATTCCTTCAAGCATCCTCTCCGAGGAGACCAAGGCACCAGAGCCAGGCGTAGTGTTGCTGCTTCTCCAGAGAGCCCTGGGACACCTGCACTCCAGCCTGCTTTCCTAGGCAGGCTCAGGAAACCTGCCAAGTTCAGACTTGAGCTGGGTCCAAGCTGCCCCTAAGCTGTGCCTCTTTTGGTCGAGCCAGGTGTGTGCACATTCCAACCGATTCAAAGGACAAAGGAAAATGCCCAGCAGATGTCACAGAACCGACTCCAGTTGAATGTTTAGATTTTTGCGAAATTGTTTTATTTTCCTTTTGCTGTGGTTTGTGTTAATGGCAGTTGGTAGCCCAGAAGCACAAGTGTGGGGAGAGAGCACCTTACAGGGTGAATGGAGCTTGCTAAGTGGGGTAATCTATGGCTGCATAAGGGTGATTGTATGAGGGACCAGCAGATTCTCTGCAGTAGTGCTGCATGCAGACTAGAGTGCTTGTTTAATTCTTGGTTTGGTTTACCCTGTTATAAAAGACAGAAGGAAAATATCCATAGGTGGTGGGTTATTTGCACCAGACACAGACGGGGATAAAGCCACAACCAAGTCCAAGCAAACCAGACAGCCATTTAGACTCAACGGAGACAGATGAGAAAATCAGAGACACACTTGTTTCTATTGCATTTTGGGGTGGTTAAGCTAGACTGAAACAGTTTTGGTTTTTTTTCTCTGTTCTGGGTAACTCCCCCCTTTCCCCTCTTTGTAGCTTTTTTTCGAATTTATACTGGAGCTTGGCGAGAGTGTCAAGTGCCAGCATCTCCTCCTTGGGGAAGAGTGAGCCATCTGCTGGTCAGGAGGCCCTTCAGCCATGCCACTTGTTCACAAAGGCAGCTGGAACCTTTTTGGAGGAGAGAGGCTAGTGAGGCTACAGACTGGCCTGGCCGCCTGGGAGCTGTGTCTGTTTCACCTCCCTTCAAGTTGGGATTGCAAGGGCCTGCCTAAATTTCCTGGGGAAATAGACCACACTTGGTCTTAATCTCTTCCCTTCTCCCTGTTTATTTCGCTTAGTTTTCAGCAGCAGTATACCCCATCTTTATATATCCTAAGAAACACTAATCCTAGGTTCTTATTAACCAAAATATTTGCATTCTGAATAACCAGAAGATGTGAGGAGCCCTGACTGTAATTTCCTTAAGTTTACCAGGTTGTGAGCACAGATGGGGCTCTTGGATGTTGACTGACTGAGTGCCTGTCCCAGAGGAAGGCAGAAGACCACTCTGGCCTTTCTAGGGAGCCCCTGATGCTCACCAGGCTTCCATACCTCTCCCGAGTGGTTTCGCCCCATCCGTCCCTTGCTGTGCAAGTGGGAGTGATAGATTTGCTGTTTGTAGGGGACTGCTTTCCTAGGCTCTGTCTCATGCTTCCCTCTGGCTTCCTGCACTCCAGGAGACCCAGTGACCTCATCTGTCACCTTGAGGCACTCCTGGGAAAGGAGTATGGTGGCTTCATTGAATTTGTGGTTTGCTCACTTCTACCCCACCTGTCTGTGAGGTGATTGCAGGATGCTACAGTAGGGGGTGACACTAGGGTGAGGGATTTTTTTTCCCTCGGTGCACTGAGCAGAGGAGGAGGGAGGGAGCCATGCTGCTGACATATTCTGGTATTCCCCCCTCCTGGAATAAAACAGCATCAGAAGGGTAGAACAGTTTCTGCTTAGGTTGCTTGTAAGATAAATCCGGAGAAGCACGATTGTCTAATTGAACAATATTTGAACAAAAAACTACTGTAAATAACTGGTTTTTGTCTTTTGTCAAAGTTGTTTTGGTTTTGTTTACGTTTAAAGTCAAACTGAATTCTTGATTGGACCTACTGTGCTTTGAAGACAAAGAAAGCAGTTTTGCTTTTTTAAGACAGGGTTTCTTTGTAGCCCTGGCTGTGCTGGAACTCTGTAGATCAGACTGGCCTCAAACTCACAGATATCCTCCTGGCTCTGCCCCACAAGTGCTAGGATTAAAGGTGTGTGCCAGTCACTTAGTGTTTACTCCGCCTTAACCTCTGCTGCTGTCCCTCTAGCCACCTAGGTGTTGTGCAAGCCTTTCCTGGTCTGCATCTGTCCTGTCCAGCACGGCTACAGGGATGCGGTCCCTGTAAGCCTGGCCAGTATGCTGGCTACAGGTAGACTTGGAGAACTGCCACTTAGGAGGTGACAGTTTTGTCCCCTGAGTGAGAAGCATAGTGCTGATATGAGGGCTGCATCTGACCGCATCTACTTCAGCCATAGCTCAAGTCAAGGAGACCTGCGCTTCTCTGTTTTGTCAGCCTTTAAATTCCTATTTGAGTCCACTAGCTGTGGGTGTGTTTTGCCACATCAAGATTATAGTTGTGGCATAAAGTTCAAAGGACAGCAGTAGTAAACAGCTGTGCTGTGCGCCTGGGCCTGTGCAGTGCTCATCTGATTGTTTCTTATACACTCACACAGGAGATGCCCACGCTCTGAGAAATGCTACTGAGTGAGGATTTAGGTTACCTACCTGACTGACCTCAGCCAGTGTAGATATGGATTTAGGACTTTTAAGTGTCTTCAAGGTCACTGAGAGATGCCCACAATGCAGTTAAAACAGTGGTAAGTGGTTTACCATGAACCACTAACAAGCATCCAGCTATCTTTAACATCAGCGTGGGCTAAGCACTTCTACAAGCAAATCAGCTGGCTGCATTTGTTTTTCAAGAAAAAATTTTAGATTTATTTCATGTGTGAGTGTTTTGCTTGTATGCTACCTACCAGAAGTTAGAAAAGGGTGTTAAATGCCCTAGAATTGTAGTTACAGGAATGACAAGCTACCATGTGGGTTCTGGGGACCAAACTCAAGTCCTTGGCAGAAGGAACAAGTGCTCCTAACTACTGGGGCACCTCCCAGCAGCCTTGGTTTGATTTTTTTTTTTTTTTGTGATAGTGTCTCCTGTATGCGTGTGGTCTAGCCTTGAACTCCTGATCCACCTGTACCCAGTACTCTTTCATCCGGGGTCTTTTAGTGTCCCTTACAAATCAACAGGCTCAGGATTTACCGGAATTGGTAAACCTCAAAAGAGGTTTGCTTTTCCTGGGCATAATATACAGGTTCAGTATTCTAGGAGCAGAGGCAAGAAGATCAGTGACTCCAAGGCTAGCCTAGGCTACACAGCAGGATGTTATGCCATCTGAAGAGTAATATTCCCTGTGTTGTGGTTTGGATCTGAAATGTCCCCTGAAGGCACTGCAGTTAAAAAGCCGTTGCAAACTGATGGGCTTTTTTATCTGACTGGTCAGTGGGTGAGTTTATAATTTGGGGGTGTGGGAGAGTAGAGACTTAGCAGGTCACTGGGTGGAAGGGTGTGCCCTAGCAAACCTGTGACGGTCCCATCCTTTTCCTGTGTCCCTCCCCTTCCCTGGTGCTGTATGGTAAGCACCTTTTCTCCACCTTAAACCTCTAGGCAAGCCTTGAGCTAACATAAACCTTCATTCCTTTAAATTATTTCTCAAGAAATATGATCATGGTGATGAAAACGTGACTAACACACTTTGAAAAAGAGAAGTGTTTTGAGGATTCCACTTTGTAAAGAGAAATGGCTTCTCTAAATGAAACCCTAACCTTTCAGAGAACTGAAACTGTCTTCCAAGAGCCAGCTCTGTTGACAGAATATTTGCCTGGTGTTCACAAAGCCCTGGGTTCGATCCCCAGCACAGCTCACTGGAATGCTAAACCAGACATGTAGCTCAAACCTGTAATCCCAGAACTCTTGTAGAGTCATGAGAATCAAAAGTTCAAGGAGCAGCCTGAGTTGGCTCAGTGTATAAATATACTTGCTGCAAAGCCTGATGACCTAAGTTCAATTCCTAGGACCCCTGGGACAAAAAAAAGAGAAATGACTACTACAAATCATCCTTTGGTCTTCTCATACGTAGTGTGGTGCACATGTATCCCCCCACACACAAATGTAACTTAGATTTTTTTTTTTAAAAATTTTCAAATGGTCTTCAGCTATATAGCCAACTTGGAGGCTACCTGAGATACGTAAGGCCTGCCTGGTCTCAAAAACAAAACAAAAACAACCTGAGAAGCCATGGGTTGATAACTGGCTTGAATTTACATGCTGAGTGTGACTGATACCTCTTGTTTTTAGGACAAGAGTCTCACTACCTCAGGCTAGGGTCCTTCTGCATCAGTCTCCCAAGTCACTCCATCTGTCTGTGTGTGTGTTGGGAAGAAGGGTTGGCGATCAAACCAGAGACTTCCCACCTACCCAGGTACACTACATGTGAATTAGCCCCAGCCTCCCAGTCTTAACAGTTACAAGATAAGGAAACTAGGTCTTGGGCTGGGGAGATGGCTCAGCAGTTAAGAGCATTGGCTGCTCTTTCAGTGGATCCCGGTTCAATTCCCAGCACCCACATGACAGCTCACACCTGCCTGTAACTCAAGTTCCAGGGGATCCACCACCTTCACACAGACATATGCAGGCAAAACACCAATGCACATAAAAGAAAGAAAAAGGTTCTTCCCAGACTCTTCTTAGCCCTCAACAGTCTATAATGAGCAGAAGGTCACGTTCCTGGGAGTTTTCACTTCAGTCACTACCCTCCCATTCCTGGACTCCACATCATAGATTGAAGGTTACACAAGTACACCTTGCTCCCGTCTTCATCCACTGTAACATGGGCGGTGGCTTTCACCACCGTATGTCGGGTTTCTGCAATAAATCAGTGTATAGCTGAGGCCAGCTCCAACTCCACTGCAAGCAGCTGTCAGGGACACAGGCCTTCTAGTGGGAAGGAAATAGTCTAGTGGCTGAGGCCATGTTTAACTTGCTAAAAAATCCTACACCTCACAAAGACAAATTGTGCCCTACTTCCAAATCTGTCACCCACCTCCAAACCTGACTGCATCAAGCAGTCAGGGTCTTAGACTCCATCTTGGACCACCCAAGATGTTTATTTTAACCAGATGGATGCCCTGGGATTCAGCCAGATTCCTCACTTCCTAAGATAAGAAAGCCTTAAGAGAATTCAGAAAGGGGAGAAGTTAGTCTCACACCACCTAAGCTAGCTCGTACCCAGTTCAGCTTCAGAGAAAACCAGCAGCACAGACCAGGTTTCTAGTGGGTCTTAACCTCCAAGTTGCTAATCACCTTAAGCTACACGGCAGGATCCCAGATCCTTCCAACCTTCATAAACTTGCCTGACTCCTATGAAAAAACAAAATTTGATAAATTTAAGAATTAAAGTTGAGGGGCTGAGCCGGGCGGTGGTGGTGCATGCCTTTAATCCCAGCACTTGGGAGGCAGAGGCAGGCAGATTTCTGAGTTCGACGCCAGCCTGGTCTACAGAGTGAGTTCCAGGACAGCCAGGACTACACAGAGAAACCCTGTCTCGGAAAACCAAAAAAAAAAAAAAGTTATGGGGCTGGAGAGATGTCTCAGTGGTTAAGAGCACTGACAGCTCTCCCCGAGATCCTGAATTCAATTCCTAGCAACTACATGGTGGCTCACAACCATCTGCAATCAGATTTGATCCCCTCTTCTGGTGTGTCTGCATACAGCAACAGTGTACTTACATAGATAAACCTAAAAAAAAAAAAATTAAAGTTGAACTTCACAACTATAACACAAATAGTTGGTTCTTTCTCTCCTGTAAAAGCTACTTGCAGGAGTTTTGGGCTGGGTGTGCTGGTGCAGTTCTGTAATACTTGGACTGGGGATTTGCAGGCAGGAAACCCTGGGTTCAAGTCCTGTTATTACATGAAACTAATCAGGCATGATGGTGAATGCCTATAGTCCTAGAACTCGGAATATAGCTGAAGGAGGATCCAAAAGGTCATCCTGGACTACACAGCACGGTAAAGGCCAAGCTGGGCTACGTAAGACCCTGCTTCACTTAAAAACAAAACAACAAAATGAATCTGTGTTCAAAGATAATGCGATCTGATTGGTAGGAAACCTTACAGAGGGCCTTCAAGGTGGCTAAGTGGATACAGGTGTTTGCTGTCAAGTCTGACTACTTGACTTTGATCCCACATGATGGAAGGAGAGAACCTCCATGAGCCGACCTCTGACTATATACATGCTTTGACATACCCAAATTTAAACTGCCTTTAGTCCCAGCACTTACAAGGCAGAGGTAGGCCAATCTCTTTGAGTTCAAGGCCAGACTGGTCTACAGGATTTAAATTTTTTAAAAAAATTTTTTTTTAAAGAATACAGGCAGGCTGCACTCACATGCTGCTCAAAATCACAGCTCAACTCCAGTTCCAAGGGAATCCTATAACCTCTTCGAGCTTCCATGGGCACCAAACACAAATGTGCTACAGATACATACATGAAAGCCAAATATACATATCAAAAAAAAACAAAAGTCTTTAGAAAAAATGAACATGAAAGTTGGAGGGGACTTTTAGGAAAAATAGGTTCAGAGGGAATGAGATGAGGGAGGGTAATTAGAGATGGAGAAAATGACCTAGATACATTCTATACAAGTATGAAATTATTTTTTTAAAAACTACACAGTTAAGTCAGGCAGTGGTGGTGCATGATTTTGGGAGGCAGAGGCTGGCAGATCTGAGTCCCAGGCCAGCCTGGTTACAAAGTAAGTTTCAGGACATCCAAGGCTACATAGAGTAACCTTGTCTCAAAAACAAACCTACAAAATTACAATGGTGGCACTGGCATGAAAACAGACATATTGACCAATAAAGTAGACAGAGAACTCTAAAATAACCCTTACATGCATGAACATGGTCTTACATGCAATGAACGTGGTCTTACATGCATGAAGATGGCCTTACATGCATGAACACAGTCAGATTATTCTCAAGAAGGGCCCAAGGCCAATGTGGAAAAAGGCTTTTTGGCTAGGGGACTAGGATCTTGATAGTTGTTTCAACAGATGGTGCTAGAAAACAGAAAATCTACATGCAAAAGAATGAAATTAGAGTTTTCACACATACACAGAAATTAACTCTCAATAGATTATTTAACAGTAGCTCAGTGTTAGAGGGCTTGCATAGCCAGGGTTAG